GATTTCTTATTCCATTCCAGGGAGTAAAGATTATGTACTTAAGCATGATTGTTCGTAGTTAAAGTGATTAATTACCCGCCTGGCAGTTAAGAGGTTTTATTCCCGCCCTAACTTCAGGGGAAAATCCCTACCTGGGGAAACAAACTTTCTCAGAGAGGTGACCTTGGTTAAAACACATAGTGCCAAGAAGGTGACCAAACATATTAAGAACAGTATGCCATATATGCCAGGTCCCTTGAAACAGCAAGGATGGACCGGCTCCCAGCAACCTGCCAGAGACTACCAGCACCAGGGATGTCAGGTGGCCAGTCGGGTCCAGCCTCACCGTTGTCCAGAGTCACAGAACCATCAGTCTTGGCAGAAGGGAGCCTTGAAACAGTTGGCAGGGGCTTCCCACAACCAACAGCCCCCCACTCCAGCTGCCTCATCACTTACTCCAGCCTGGGAAGCTCAGAACCCCCCATGTTGTTAAGCCCCTTCCCAGCCCTGCCCAACCTGGACCTGCCAGCACTTACCTCTTGCACAACAAACACAGGCTGCAGGGCTGCAGTGAGGTCGGGGCAGGAGCAGGAGTATAACCCATGCTGGACACTGTCACCAGGGCTAGGGATGAGGCCTGGACATCAGTGCAGCCTCCCTGAATTTTCAGGAGCCTCACTCTGGGATGGGGGGATACTGCTACTGCTATTCTCCAGCCTGGGGCACCTCAGGGCAGAGAACCCCAGGAGAGTGTCCCCAACTCTCGGTCTGGGCTCCTGCTGTAGTAGCGACCCCTCTCTCCAGCTCCTATCCAGGCTGTGGGTCCTGTCAGGCCTGGGCAGGGCCAACACTCCAGTGGGCTTCCAAGGCAGGGTATTTACAATGAGGAGGTCCTGGGCACCTGGCTCCCCAGCTCACAGGGCTGCAGCCGCAGCACTGAGCAGTGTGTTGCCATGGAAATGAATGTCTAAGGAGAAACTGGTTGGTCATGAGTGGGCAATGGGTCTAGGATGACCCAAGTGTCCCATAGGAGAGAGCAGCGGGAATGTTCTCAGCCTAACCTTTGTAGTGGCACTTGGCTGCTTCTGCCACCAGCTGAATGCAGCTTCCAGTCACCACATCATGGAACTCGTTCAGGAGCAGGAGTATGCAGGGGCCAAGGGCAGGGATGGGGAAGGCCAGGATGCTGGGAAGAATGAAGGCTGGGAAGGTCAGCCACAGAGGTTTCTCGGGTGAATTCAGGTGGGTGACAGGGGGCAAAACCAGGCTGACCTCCAGAGGTCCTGCAGCTGGGCTGTGGGTATAGAAATTGGGCACTACAGACTAGGGCCAGACTGCTGAGCAGCTCCACGTCATGCAGGATGCGCTCACACTCCCGATTTCCTTTCTTGATCTGAGCCCCAGCCAGCGGCGAGGAGGGTGAGTCTGAAGCAGCGGTTCTCAACCTATGGGGCGTGACCCCTTTGGGGGTCAAATGACCCTTTCACAGGGGTCGCCTAAATATATCCTGCATATCAGATATTTACAATTCATAACAGTAACAAATTTACAGTTATGAAGTAGCAACGAAAATAATTTTATGGTTGGGGGTCACCATAACATGAGGTATTAAAGGGTCGCGGCATTAGGAAGGTTGAGAACCACAGGTCTAAAGTCTGCTTAAGTATCCCAGAATACCTTCCAAAGCCCTCCCTGGTTCAGAACCCCTGATGGCTCCCCAGGACCCCCTGGATAAAGCCTCTTGTGGGTGACATGTCCCAAATACCTCCCTCCCTCAGCGTAAGCCTCCTCTGGGCTCCTGACCCACGCAGCTCTTACTCTTCTCTCAGCTCCTCCTCAAAGAACAAGCCTCCTCTCCCAGATCTGGGGGTGGGGGTCTGTCCTTTTTCCTTTACTGCCCCTCTACAGATCAAGGGCACACTCTCCCTGCTCGGCTGAGTGACTAGCTCCTGACCTGGGCGGGGTGGGTGGTGTAGGTGCCATTTATGCAGCTCCAAGAAGAGCTCTCCGACCCACAGCTACCCCGGAGAAAAGACAACTGCACCCTGAGGGAGAATGTGAGCCTGGGTCTCCCAGCCTTGGGGGCCACATGGCTCACCCTTGATCCACACCAGAGCAGACAAGAGATCCAGCCCCCAAAGAAAGAAGCACCCCCAGAATGCTCCCGGTTTACAAAGCCAGCACTGGAAACCCCAGGAGAGTTCTCTCTCTGATGAGTTTAAGCCCCTTCCCACCCTCAGCTTTTCTCCCACATCACCCCCAAGGTAGAAATTGGGAGGAGCCCATGTACCAGGATTGGAGCAGGACAGGCCCAGTGGAGGGATTGGGCCAAACGGTTGAGCAGAAAGAAGGGCTCAAAGCAAGGGCTAAGCTAGCAGCTCAGTGAGGGCTATTAGTGGGCCAGGTTTGACCTGGGCAGCCATCTGTATTGTACGGCCACTTCAAGCAGTCTACCATAATCTGAGGGGGCCACTACCTCCATCCCCAAAGCCAAAGAGGAAGGCACTATGGTTGGTCCGTCCTTTGTCCCGGTTTTTGGCCACTGTCTTTAGTACCTGGAGAAACAGGGGCAGATCAGCATGGTTCAGTCTAGGACAGGACACCCAGCCCTCTCCAGCCTACCTCCCTGCCTCCACCTTGGTCTCTAGGTACCCTCTCACCTCCTCCACACTGCCCTCTATTCCATATGAGGTGGGAAGTGGGCCAGCACACGGGAGCCATCCAGCCCTTCGCAGAAAAAGGTATGGTGCTGCGGGCAGGCAGAGACACAAGAGAGAGGCTAGTGTCAGGGCTGAGGCAGAGTTGGGCCTTCCAGTCCTGCCCTGACCCTGGTGTGACCTGGAGCAGGCACATTCTCTATCTGGGTGGGGGTTGGGTGAGTTGTCCAGGACCCCTGAATAAGCCTAGGGAGAGATGAATGGGTCAGGTGGGACCCAGGCCCACTCTAACATGACCCACTGGGGTCTGCTCACTGGAAAGGCATTCACCAAGTTCCAGCTCAGTTTTTGGCCCAGGAAGTGTCTGATGCCACATCTGCTCATGATCTGGGAAAGCTGTGCTGAGTAGCCAAATGTGTTTGGCAGCCCGAACTGCAGGAAAAGGGCCTCTGAGGCACAGGAACCAAGGATCTTGGCAGAGCAGCCCAAGCCTCAGCCCCTCATCTCACCAGGTTAAGCCCCATCTGCCTGAAGCCATAGCAGCTCCCAGCCTACCTCCAAGCACATCTTCCCAAACTCCTGCAGGAAGAAGTTCTGGCCCTGCAGGAACTGCCTCACCAATGCCTCTCCACTGGGAAGGTTCCCATCCTGGCAGTGAGAGAAGAGGGAGTCAGCCAGCGTCAGCACCAGATGGGGAATATGCAGGTACTCGGTCGACCCCACTCCTTAGGAGAAGCCATGGCTCTGACCCAGGAAGTATCTATCTCCTGCAGCCATTTATCTGCTGAAGGGAGCTTCTGGGCTGGGTTATGCAAACGGCCTGTCACAGTGCTTGGGACCCTTCTCCCCCTTGGAATCCCAGGGCTCGGAAGTCCAAGGACTAATAGTGCTGCAACAGAGAGGTTGTGAAGGGCCTGCAGAAAGCCCTAGGCTGAGGGTATGCAGACCGCCCTTACCATCTCCACCCAGGTGCCTCCCAAGGGGACAAACTGCCCATGGCAGGCAAACTCCTGGAGCCAGGCATACAGGCCATGGTAGTGGTTCTTTACCTACTCAAGCTGCTGCGCCTGTGAGGCAGAAGGGGTAGGAGTTGTGCCTAGAGTAACAAGAACCCTACCCAGGGCCAAGTATCTGGGGAGCAGTGGGCAGCTGAGTCTGGGGAGGCCCTCAGAACCTCACTTTTAGACCTATTGGGTTTCTGGTGTCTCCACATGACTGTCCCTCTGACCTGGGAGCAGGCAAAGATGAACTCAGGGTTCCGCTCCATAAGCTGCACGGCTGTTACCCAGCTCCGGGCACATTTCTGCAGTCTCTTTGAAGGGCCAAAGCCAGGCTAGATGGGGAGGGGGACAGAGGGTGGAGAGAGAGCAGCAAGGTCCCCAGCTCCACATAGATCTCCAGCCTCACCTCTGTCCCCCAGCACCCCGACCAGGCCCAGCCTGGGTCTCTAGGGCAGTGATGGTGAACCTCTGACACACGTGTCAGAGGTGACACGCAAACTCTTTTTTGGTTGATTTTTCTTTGTTAAATGGCATTTAAATATATAAAGTAAATATCAAAAATATAAATATTTGTTTTACTATGGTTGCAAATATAAAAAATTTCTATATGTGACACGGCACCAGAGTTAAGTTAGGGTTTTTCAAAATGCTGACACGCCGAGCTCAAAAGGTTCGCTCTTCTCCCATTCTTTGGTCAAACGTGGTGGGAGTACAGTGAAAGAGACAGTAATATGCTCTAGGGCAGGGGTCCTCAAACTTTTTAAACAGGGGGCCAGTTCACTGTCCCTCAGACCGTTGGAGGGCCAGACTATAGTTTTAAAAAAAACTATGAATAAATTCCTATGCACACTGCACATATCTTATTTTGAAGTAAAAAAACAAAACAGGAACAAATACAATATTTGTATTTGCATGTGGCCCGCGGGCCGTAGTTTGAGGACCCCTGCTCTAGGGTCTTCCTAGCGCTTCTCAGGCCCCTTTCCCTGCAAAGCCCTGTGATATCCCTCCTGAGCTACCACTTCAAATCAGTCCTACTAGGTGGCAGTAGGAGTGGGATAGGAAGGCAACCAGAGCTATCAGGTTAATTTTACAGGTCAGGAAATGGAGGCCCCAGGCCCTAGAATAGTCTTGCCCTTGAGGTTTAGACACCCTTAGAGAGGATCCCTTAGAGAGGATCCCCAACACATACTGATGGATATCCCAGAATAGAGTGCACAGCTCCTCAAGATGGATCATGCCTTGTCAGCTGTCGTATATGAAGCACTACAGCCTCTCCTTCCTTACCAGTCCAGAGCCTCCACCCTCTTCCCCACACCTTGGCATAGCAGAGACAGCCCTTGTTCTGTGGTCCAAAAACATCAGAATCAACACCTTGGGGAACCTGTTAAAAAATAATGGATTTCCCATAAGCCTCACAGTCACTGAAAACTCATCAAGTTCAGAATTGAACCCCTGACCCTACCTAGAAAACCACCCCTGCACTTCAGCCCCCATCTCTATTACTTCAACTGAGGCCCAGGAGGGGCAAGAACTTGCTGAGGTTTACACAGTGCTTCCAGGGCAATGTCAAGGCTTCAAGGTCACTCCTGCCTGCCTCTCAGCCAACTTGACCAGCTAACCTCTTATCCGTATCAGTGTGGCAGTGCCCCATGGCATGGATGGTATGCTGGCTTTTGCCTCCACATGGGCCAAAGGACCTGGAGGCCAGAGACTGGGCTGCCGGGAAGGTCCGGGCGGGGCAGGGTCACACACATTCCCAATCTGCCGGGCTGTGCACAGGGCCTGGGAGCCGCGCTGGTTGTCTTCCCGGAGGCCCGGCAGCAGGGTGCTCAGCAGAGCTCTTTTCTGCCTCCAATCCTTTGCCTGGGCTGTTCCCCCTGCTCAGAACCGTTCCCTCTTCCCCTTCACATAGAGAAACCCTACCAACTCTTGGGCAGGCAGAGACACTGTCCCTATTCTGCATTCCCAGAGTCCCAAGTATCTGACCCAAGAAATAATCTACGTGGAATCCTAGAGAGTGACCAGGTGAGATGGGGTGTTGAGTGCATTGGCCATGCCCAGCAGCAGTTCCAGATCTACCAGGAGCTTGTGGATATCCCGGTGGAAGAAGTCCAGCTCAGCCCAGCTCACCTGGAACATCTTCTCTGGGTCTGCAATCATGGTGCCCTTCCTGGGTCCCAAGGCGACTTCCACATGGAGGGTCAGGCTACAAAAATGGGGAGGCAGTGATAGGCCAAGGGACTGGCAGAGAACTCTGGGGGCTTGAGGAGGGAGGACAGAGGCAGCATCCAGATGACCCCTCCCCATTTACCTCCAGGATCCCAGAGTATGTCAAGTTCATATACGAGAGGGTCAGAGAAGCACCAGCCTGAACCCATATGGTGATGAAAGCTCTATTATGGTTAGCTAGAACAAGCAACTCATTCTGGAACTGTGTGATGCTACTGTTTAGCCTTGTTTTTTTTGTTTTTACCAAAGCTGTCTTTACACTGGGACTCAGAACCATCTTTGCACATTAAAAACATGTTTGGCCCAGCCAGTGTGGCTCAGTGGTTGAGTGCTGACCCATGAACCAGGTCAAGGTAGATTACGGTCAGGGCACATGCCCAGGTTTGGGGCCTGACCACGAGTAGGGGGCATGCGGGAGGCAGCCGATTGATGATTCTCATCATTGATGTTTCTATTTCTCTCTCCATCTCCTTTCCTCTCTCTGAAATAAATAAAAACATATTTTTTTAAAAAAGAAAACATGTTCGTATTTCCCAGAGCAAAGACCCATCAGCCAACACAGAGCAGGCTGTTCTTTGTAGCCTCATATTGGGTTCTGGCACTGTTCTACTCAGTCTTCAGAGACCACAGATGACTTATTTGGGGAAGCCCTCCCTATTCCTCCTCCCACCCCTCACCTAAGTCTGGAACAGAGTTCTCACATGAGCTCCGAGGGTTTTCTCTCAGAGCCCTCATCAGTTTTGCAATTGTATATGTATGTATGAGTCTTCTTGCTGTAGAAGACCATATTACTCACCATCATAGTCCCAGTGTCTGGAAGAATCAGATACACAGCATTCAGTAAATACTATAACATAAAATCATAATGTCTAAGAAAGTTTTTAATGGTGTAATAAATGTCCATGTTATAATATGGAATGAAAAAATTCAGGATACAAATATCAAGGAAATATAATTTAAACTAGTAAAAACTACACTGGGAAGAATTCCTGAGATGAATACTGAGATATAAATAATGGTCATCTCTAGGTGGTGGGATAATGGGAGGTATTTACTTCTTTGTACTTTTCTGTATTTACCACAGGCGGCAAACATTTTTATAGCCAGAAGAAAAAAAATCCTGCTTTTAAAAAACAAACACTGAAGATTTGAGGATGGTTGTGTTGGGAGTAGGTGTGTTTCCAAGATCATTCTGGGCTTCCCAATAATGTGTCCTCCCCTACTGATGTCTTCTCCCCCATAGCCTTGGTCAACCAGTGCAGGGATTCACTCACCTCCGAGGGTCTCCTTCTCCCAGCCTCTCAATCAGGATGTAACTGCTCTTCTCCCCCTTCTTTGGTCAAACGTGGTGGGAGTACAGTGAAAGAGACAGGGCCTGAGGTTTTTGGACAGTTCATGTTAAACATAAGCTAAGGGAATTCAAAACCCTTTGCTCAGACTCCAGCTTTGGCTTCTTTTCCAAGGCAAGGCCAAGACTGATAAATCAAGGACCCTTGCTTACAAGTGCCCCATTCCCATGGCAGCCAGTACCATGACCACCAAATAGCACCAGCAGAAAAGCCCTTGGTCTTATGAGATGGGTCTTGGGCAGGCATCAAGAGATCTGGATATGGCTCCCAGTGGCCTCTGTACCCCTGAATAAGTATCAGAAGGGAAATTCTATAAAGTCAGGGACAGGCTTGTCTCATTTCCTGCTATGTCCCCAGTGCTTAGCATAGGGCCTGGCTCAGAGAGGGCATTCAGGAGACATGTGTTGAGCCAATGGAGAGAGGGAGAGAGGGCTTTGTCATACAGGTAGGAGTCCTACCTGAGATTGAAAGTCCACTTGGAACGGAAGATGTGCAAACTGAATAAGTGAACTAACCTCTATTTATCTCACCTTCTTAATCTTCAGTTATAAAGACCAACCACATAGGATGATAAAGATACTGTTAGATGCATAAGCAAGACACTTAATAGTGGTTTAGTGGTGGTTATACCTGGGGAATTGGGATGGGGTAGTGGGGAGATGTTTGAAAGTTTCTCCCATTATATATCTACATTATATAAGGCCAGGGGCTGTCACAACCTAAATGACCAGACGGATGACTGGTCACCAGGAAGTGCATGGAGCACCTCTTGGTCCCTCCCCCTCAGCCCACAGGCTATCACAGTAAGGCCGGCAGCCGGCAGGTGGGCACGGCGAGGTTGTTAGGCCCTTGGCCCAGGGCCAGGCCAGAGGCCTAACGTCCTTGCCTCTGCCGTGGCAGCTGCAGATCAGGCCCAGAGAGGCAGGGCCTGATCCGCAGCTGCCACGGAGGCTGTGGATCAGGCCCAGAGAGAGGCCTGGAGATAGGCTCAGAGATGCTGACTGGCATAGAACCCAACCAATCAGAACGAAATCTGGGTAAACTGCGAGGAGCCAATGGCTGCCTAGGAGGTGGAGCTTTTAATGCTGACTGGCATAGAAACCAACCAATCAGAACGAAATCTGGGGAAACTGCGAGGAGCCAATGGCTGCCTAGGAGGTGGAGCTTTTAATGCTGACTGGCATAGAAACCAACGAATCAAAACCTAATCTGGGTGAACTGCGAAGGCAGAACCTAAGGTGGAGACTAAGGAGGGGTTTTAAGGGAAACTGCTGTTTGGTGTAAGGTGTAAGAAAGTGGTTCAATTTTTTAATGACCAGTGCATATGGCTGGCTATCAGAGTAAGAGTAATATGCAAATTGACCATCACTCAAACACACAAGGTGGCCACCCCATGTGGTCAAAGATGGCCATCAGGGGAGGGCAGTTGGGGGCAACCAGACCTGCAGGGGAGGGCATTTGGGGGCGACCAGGCCAGCAGGGGATGGTAGTTGGGGGCAACCAGGCCGGCAGCAGAGGGCTGTTGGGGGCAAACTGGGTGGCAGGGGAGGGCAGTTGGGGGCGAGATCAGGCCTGCAGGGGAGGAGAGTTGGGGACCATCAGGCCAGCAGAGGAGCAGTTAGAGGTAATCAGGCAGGCAGAGGTGGTTAGGGTCAATCAGGCAGAGGCAGTTAGGGGTGATCTGGCAGGCAGGCAGAGAGGTTAGTGGCGATCAGGCAGGCAGGCAGGCAGGCAGGTGAGCGGTTTTGAGCCAGCGGTCCCAGATTGCGAGAGGGATGTCCCCGATTGGAGAGGGTGCAGGCCGGGCTGAGGAAACCCTGCCCCCCTGTGCACCAGGCCTCTAGTACTATACATAATAAAAAACTGTTTATTAAGAACTAAAGAGATGTGGTCTGTAAAGCCACTAGTCTGGCACCTAGCAAGGGGTTAATAAATGGAACTGCTATACTTATTATTATGATTAATAACCATATTCAGCCTAGCATGAGGTGGGCAACCCAGCTGGTGTGGTTCAGTGGTTGAGCATCAATTCCCAGTCAGAGCACATGTCCAGGTTGTGGGCTGGATTCCCAGGAGGCAACTGATCAATGGTTCTCTCATCATTGATATTTCTATCTCTATCCTTCTCCCTTCTTCTCTGAAATCAATAAAAATACATTAAAAAAAAAAAAGGTGGGCAGTAAGTGGCAAGGTTGGTTTAGCACTAATTATGTTGTGACCCAAACACCATCCATGTAATTTACCCTATATGAGAGGACCTAACCAAGCACAGAGGCCCAAACAGCAACCTCCCCAGTCCTCAAATCCTTCTACCACTCTGCAGGCAGAGCCACTCAGCCAGCTCTAATTTCTCCAGAGACCAGAACTGAAATGTGGCTATGCTGTCTCTAGGCCAAGGCTCCTTACCTGAACTGGTTCCCCATCATGCCACACCAGGCCCTCTCCATAGCTTTCCCAACGAAGATGAACTTCCTGACCTACCCATGCCTCCAGGATGGTCAGCTCCACCCGGAACCAGAAGGTCCACCATCTGCAAGAGAGTCACTTAGATGGGAGCCCTTTTCCTTTTGAAATAGTACTTTCTTGGATTAAGGGTCAGTAGGGGCTTGAGGCTTTCTCTGTGCATTACAAGGTAATCAGATTTGATGGACAAGAAGGGAGTAAGGTGAGGTAAAGAGGCAGAGCCAGAGGTCTGTGATCCGTCCTTGAGTACCTTTCCTAAGGGGCGTCCAGGGACTGGGAGAAAGGGGAAAATGAACTTTCATTAAATCTGAGGGACCAGGGGCAGACAATGGAGGTGTGGCCCTTAGGAGTGAGCCAGCCCAGAGGGGCGACCACTGGAAGGGCCCTGCCTCTGGGTATTACCCACATGGGTCCAAAGCTGTCACCGACCTGCGCAGGGCAGAAGTCCTGCTGGATTGCCTCCTGATAGGGAAGCCTCTCAGGTTGTCAGGAAACTGGAGAGCACGGCCATGGGGCAGCTGTCCCCGAAGAGCCTGGGCATGGAGGGGCCAGTGGGCATGCGCTCAAAGTCAGCTTTCCACCTGGCAGTGGAACGCAGAGTCCTTCGATCCACGTTGGAGATGGCTGTTCCACAGCACAGCCTCCTCGCTCCCTCCTCCCGGCCATGCCCTGTCCATAGAGGGCGGGCACTTTATCCCTCAGGCCAGGTGGCTGTAGCTTGGGTTTAACCACAGAAAGAAAGGCTGAGGCCAGTGAACCAGGCCAGCCGGTGCCCCACAGAGGTTAAAGTTGTGGGTAGAGTGGCGACACGAATTTCTCCACCCGCTCTTACATAGTGCGCCAGTGCTTCATGGTTGGCACCGCCACCACCACTGCCGCCCGCCCACCCTTCTTGGAAAATCCCGGTGCTCCTGTGTGGCGGAACTAAAGGTTCTGGTGTGTGGACGGCTGCAGGCTGCTTCTTACAACAGTCAGGCTAGGCTCTCTGGGAAGCCCAGCTGCTCTGAACTTTGAGAGGGGCACTGAAAGAAGTGCTTCTTGAGGCTCTCCTCTATCACTTCTGGACTGGTGGGCCAGGCCACTTGGCAAATACCTAAATAAAATGGTAAGTCTGATGCTTAGCTTCTCGGAAAGCTCTGGGACAGAGATACGGGGACCATTAGATGCAACAGACCACTCGGCATCAGCACCAACAGGTGGGAACCCTCTGGCCCTCCAGTGCCAGCCTGGCCTCTGGCTCCCTAGAGCTGCCATGAATGGACGTGGTGTTGAGGGCTTTGCATCCCTGTAACCTCAGCTTCCTCTACAACCTTATTTTATGTACATGGCTGTTGGTCATCACCAGAAACTCTGGAAAAGTTTTGATTTGAGACAGCATGTTAGTCATAGCATTCAAGATCCTAATAGAATACTGTATTTCACTAAACAGGACTGAAGAGTTAAAAGAAGCCATAATGCCAGACACCTAATTTCATTTTCACATTAGCCTAGTGGTCCTTTGACAGCTTTTTTTTTCCCTCTCCTAAAACGGCCAGGGAGTTCTTGTCTATAATATCATTAAGAAAAATATATACACAGCATTAGCCCTGATATTTTAATGGAAATACTGACCAAGTTTACAACATTTTAAATGTAAACTACACAGAAGTGTATGACTGAGTACATAATACCAAGCATAATCCTATATAATAAAAGGCCAGAGACCAGAATTGGTTCCCCATTATGCCACACAAGTGGATGGCGAGCACTGCTCAGCCGGGCTCACGGCTAGCGAGCGCAGTGGCGGTGGCGGTAGCCTCTCCCACCTATGCTGCAGGCAGGCAATAAGGATCAAGGGGACCCAGACTGCGAGAGCCCCAGACTGTAAGAGCGATGTCTGACTGCCAGCTTAGGCCTGATCCCCAGAGGTGGGGAGGATGGGGAGGGGGAAGGAGGGGAGATGAGGCCTAAGCCAGTAGGCGGACATCCCCCAAGGGCTCCTGGACTGTGAGAGGGCACAGGCCAGGCTGAGGCACCCCACCCCCACGCACTAATCTTGTGCACCGGGCCTCAAGTTTAAAATAAAGATAATTTGCCAGCTATAATACAGGCTGGGTTTAGAGCTTGTAGCTCAGGTGTCAGAAGACAGGAGGGACAAAAATGCTGTTTGTGAAAACCATGTAGTGAAACTCACCCTTCTTTTTCATTACACTGGTAGGTTGAAGGTTTTCTCCCGAACTGGCTCTGAAACCCTCTTGCCAACCTGCAAGCAGGTGCTCTGGACATAACCCTGTGCAGGGACAGCAACAGCTGGGCCCCATCTATTTCCCCCATAATTCCAAGTCAACATGATCTTTCTTGAGTCAGCAGAGGGGGATAGGTGAGCTAATTTCTGGGAAAACCTGAAGATTTCCCATCCCCAACCAGTACTTATCATTCCATCTCCAAGTCAGACACTGCCTCAGCTTCATCCTAGAATCTCCTCCTGCAAGGCTCTTTTACTACTATACATTTCTGGGTTCCACCTCTTGTGTTGTCTCCCCCTCTCCCCACTCCCCACACACAAACAAACAAACAAAAAAATCAGAGAAGTCTACCATATATTTTGAAAGTCCAGAAGCCAAAAGTTTGTGGGGTTTGGAAGTGTGTGTTGGGGTGGGAGTGTGTGGATTTTTAATAAAAAAGCAAACAAAACACTGTTGGTTACTTTGCAACTATGATTAGGGTAAATGGTTGCTGGAGGAAAATCCACCAGAAGTCCAGGCTGACTACATAAAAATCCTTATCACCCAGGATTAAATGTCTGCCAGTTTAAATTTATGTAATATATTCCATTTGCAGTGAGTAATGAAATGTACCAAATCTCCCTCCCAACCCCACTTATACCACACTCCTTATACACACTTCTTTCAAATACTGATTTGGTATTTAAGTTGTTCACTCCCATTTCTACTAAGGATAAGAAAAAATATAGAGAATTACAAATTATATAGCTAGACAACTTACTCAAATATCACACATGTCTAAACAGTTGAAATAAGGGAGGGGGAAAAACATGTACTGAAAGAATAAAGTATTCTGCTTCAAAATTTTGGAATATTTTGACTTGAGATAAGTGAACTTGACTGCTAACTAGAGCAAAAGCCTGTTGGTACCCTGGATAAGAAACTGAGCCTAAATCCCTGATTCATAATTGTTCTCTGGTGAGGACAAGGGACTTGGGTTGCAAGTTTATTCCTTGAGAACCAAACTTTATTTATTTTTTTTAAAAAAGTTTTGGGGCAAGGGGAAGACAAGTTTTACACAAAAGTACTACAACCATAACTCCCTTTGGTAAAAAGTGTAATAAATGTCTTGCACACCTGTTCATAGGTACTAAATCTGAAGTCACATAGAACTATGGTACACAAGAAGCTAGAGCAGTTATGCTAGCACATCAAAGCATATTTCTTTTAATAAAAAATTGACAGTATATACATTATTTACAAAAAAGGAAAAAGAAAACCCCCGTTAAAATTGGTGTGTTTGAGAGAAAGAGTAAAGCTGGTGGATGGCACTGGGGAAGACCGGTAAAGAAGCAGATACAAAACAGTTCCTCGGGAGCTAAAAATAACTGATTTGAACTTGTTGAGGTTGATAACCAGAGGAGAAAGTAAAAGGGAGGCAACAAGGGATTCGGCAGGAATCAAATCCACAAGATGATCAATCCCAAAGCCAAATTGTGGGTCCCACATAAAACCTAATGGATGCTCTAAATGTGCTTGAGTGATCAGGAAAAAATAAAATAAAAAAATCAAATCCAGTTTTGTCCCCCTTTTCGGGGGTGGGGGGAAGAGAAGAGGAGCATTAACCATCAGAGTTACAAACCATCTGAGCGTTGAGTCCTTCCCAGTTAGTTTGTCAACGTTCACCCATCCAGCCAAGGTTTGAATAGCACCTGGTTCCTTCTTCGAAGGTCAGGCCCCAGGAGACTCCAGTCTTAGCTCTGCTGGTGTGTGCAAGCAAGCTGTGTGTTTATGCTTGAGTGGATTTCCTTCCCCTCCAGGATCCTAAACCCTTGGGGAAAGTTCCAGAGCACAGACAGATCAGGTGGCCATGTCCCAGAGAGGCCCAGTGAGGCTTGAAAGGCATCTTCCTCATTTCTTCAGTGTGTGTGAGGGCACATGAACCGCACCCCCCTCACACACACACCTCCTTCAAGTTATCTGCTCTGACTTTGCAGTTACGGGGTTTTGAACACTGTGCCGTATTTGACACGGTACTTGTTAATGTTCACAAAATGCAGAGTCTCTGTGTCACAGGTGGTGGTACAGGGTACCAGGCCCTCCAGCCCCTCACCCATGAGCCACTTGCTGGTCTCCGCTGCCATTTCACGGGGCACATGCTCCTTGGTCCACTTATCTACCCAGGCCTGGAACCTCTGATGCAGCCTCTTGCTTACACGTTCATGGGACTGCAAAACAGAATAAAAAAACAAAACAAACAAAAACACCCATGAACTAGGACCAAAAAACAAAACAAAACAACCCTTCAAATACAAAGCCCAATTTCCTCCTAAAGTAGCAAAGAAAAGATGTGGCCTCAAGTTTCTGATACCACTGGTTAGTGGGGGAAAAAACGCACACAAAAGTAGGAATCTATGTTTTCAGCAGAGAACTGAAAGAGGTTAAGAACATAGAGAATGCAAGGAGTTGGAACCCACTGAGACACCAAAGAAATGCCAACATAGGTTCTGGGCAAAATAAGCTCAGTGTTTCTCAATTTTAGCATTCATTAGAATCACCTGGGGAATTTGATAAAACTACAGATTTCCTTGTTTCTATCAATCTACATTTTAACATCAGCAACCCACCTGATTCTAATTTTTATTTTTTTAAATAATTTTCACCTGGTAATATTTTTCCATTGATTTTTTAGAGAGAGGAAGGGAGGGGGAGAGACAGAGAGATAGAAACATCAATGTGAGAGAGACCACATAAATTGGTTGCCTCCTGCACGGGCCCGACCATGGCCAGGGAAGGAGCCTGCAACCGAGGTACATGCCTGTATGTGCCCCTTGACCAGAACTGAACCAATGACCCTTCAGTCCTCAGTCCGACACTTTAACCACTGAGCCAGGGACCAGCTGATTCTAATATATCCCCAAGTTAGACAGTTGTTGGTTATTTCTATCAGCAGCATGGCAAACCACTTCTAAAAAGTATGAGGCTTGCCCTAACGGGTTTGGCTCGGTGGATAGAGCGCCGGCCTGCGGACTCAAGGGTCTCAGGCTCGATTCTGGTCAAGGGCATGTACCTTGGTTGCGGGCACATCCCCAGTGGGGAGTGTGCAGGA